GGGGGGGGGGCTGGGAAGAAGAGAGGGAGAGAGGGAAGGAAGCACTTGATAGGAATACAAACCAAACTGTGTGTGGTGGTGCATGCCTATAATCCCAGCTTTCTAGAGACTGAGGCATTAAGATAAGTTCTAGGCCAGCCTAGGACTGTTTTTGCAATAAGGCCTAGTGAGGCTTTATCTCTAAATAAATAAATAAATAACATTCTCATCCCAAGCGACACTGCCTTTGGGTGGAGTCTGGTGTTGTAGGATGCTCAGAGCCACGCCCCTTCCCAGGGGTCATGTCCAATCCTGAGGACCCTGTGGAAGGAACTAGCCTGAAGTTTTCTGCTCACCTTGTCCTAAAGGGAGGTATCGATGGCAGTCTCTGAGAGGACTCCTATGGCCTGTGTGCTTTCTCTTCTACCCTGTTCCTGAGTCAGAATGCCACAGGAATCATTTCCCCAAATGAATGGCCTCTTTAGAGTCCCAACAGGCATTTTCCCATTCGATTAACAAGCCAAGTCCACTAGAGTTCCCTTTGATCAGGAGGCAGATGCATCTCAAGTTAGAGCACAGCTTGGCTATGTTACAAGACCCTTTCTGAAAAGTAAAACAAGATAAAATTCCTGTGGAAACATAAAGAACCTAGAATAGCCAAAACAACTCTGAGAAAGAACAGAGTTGGGAGACTAGCAGCACTTCCAGTGTCGGCACTCGATGATTTCCATGAACTCATTCAGATTCAGTTGGGTCTCAGCCTATGTAGATTGAGATATTTATGAAGTATGAACTTGTAGGCTGAATATTTGGAAGGAGAAGCCGGTCACCAGTGGCTCACGCCTATAATCCCTGCTACGCAGGAGTCTGGGATCTGAGGATCGAGGCTTGAAGCCAATCTGAATACACAGATCTGAGAATCTAAGAGACTCTTATCTCCAGTTAACCAGCAAAAATTTGCAAGTAGAGGTATGGCTCCAGTGGAAAAGAGCCAGCGTTGAGCAAAAAAGCCAAGTGAGAGTCGGAGGTCTGGGGTTTAAGTCCCAGCACTGTCATGAAAAGAAAAGAAGAAAGAGAGAGAGTAGATTCTTCTAAGTTTGAACATGTTTGAAGTCATTTTCCTGAAATTCTCACAAAAAGAAAACAGACGCCAAGTGCCAGGTGAGGTAGCCCAGGCTAAGTCTGGAGGAGTGGGGACCCGAGGCCAGCCTGGGCTATCAAGTGAGACCCTGTCCCCAAACGGAGCAAACAAGCCAGGGGCAGGGGGCTACTTAGGAAGCCGAGAACCAGAAGATTGAGGTTCAAAGTCAACCTAGGTAGAAAAGTCTGTGAGACCCCCATCTCCAAAATAACCAGCAAAAAGCAAGGCTGGGGTGTGACAGCACCCAAGCTGAGCAGCGTAAGACCCCAAGTTCAACCCCAGTATCCAAAACAAAAAAAGTTATAGCCAAATGCTAAGGTTCAGGGATCTTGTATTTTGTTATTTGGATATTTTCAGTGCCCCTTCAATTCTATTTCCAACTAATTTTGTTTTTCCAAAGTGATTCCATTTCCTGTAAATAAGCTTGGACGCTGGGTCGGGAGGGGCAGGAGGGGGAGTGCCTCAAGCTCACCCTTAACCACTAGTTAGCAGCCACTTGGACTGCTGGCTTAGATTTCCTTTGAGAAACTCGTGTTGCCCTATAGAGAACATCCAAAGAAAACTAGAAAGTTTCATTTGAATAGCACTGATATCAGAGATGTTTAAAATATTTACAATTCTCGTTTTTAACAGTTGGTCGCAAGAAAAGCAATGTCAAGCCCGCAAGTGAGGAAGGTGTAGAGACGGAAGGTAGGCAGTGCAGGTATCTGTCATGAAATGCGTAGAGTATGCTTAAGGCTTTACGTCTGTGAGGAAAGTTGACCAAAGAAAAGAATGTGGTATACATGAAGTATTTTCCCTTTTTCCGCATGTCACCCATGTCATTCCACCCTGGGATGGTGTAGTCAAGATAAAACAAATTTTTGATAAATCGTGCCTCAAACTAATTTGGAGTTGAAGTTACGCCTTTCTAAAAGGAAGAAAATGTGCACAGTCCTGTGTTCTTCTCCCCCGACCTGACAGCCCTGGGGGAGACACACGCTCCAGCTCAGGCTGCTCCTCTGTGGGGCCTCCGCAGAGCTGTCCTCAGCCAGCGCTTTCTGGTCCTTTCTTGTCAGTCCACCCATGCCCGCATGCTACCAGCATGTCCCCAGAGCCCCTCACCCTCGAAGATTGTCTGCGTGATGTCTCGTTTCTCCCCCCTCCTGTGTTCCTTGTCCCCTCCTGGTGTGTAAGATGACTCTCTGCCTCACATGCTGACTTGAAATGCCCAAGCCCACACACATCCATCAGCTGCCCCAGATCCCCCAAGCCCCAGGGCCCAGCCAATTTTCTCCTTTGCCTGCATTGCTTCTAGCTCCAAGTATTTAATAATTATTTTATTTTATCTTTCTCTATTAAAATGTTTCTTCTTTTTGAAGTGCTCATTTCCACGGGTGATCATATATTTTGTTTATATAAAAACTTACTTGAGCCGGGCGCTGGTGGCTCACGCCTGTAATCCTAGCTACTCAGGAGGCTGAGATCTGAGTATCACAGTTCAAAGCCAGTCCGGGCAGGAAAGACCGTGAGACTCCTATCTCCAATAAACCACCAGAAAACTGGAAGTGGGGCTGTAGCTCAAGTGGTAGAGCACTCGCCTTGAGCTGAAGAGCTGAGGGACAGCGCCCAGGCTCAGAGTTCAAGCCCCAGAACCAACAAAAAAAAAAAAACTTACTTGATTTGGTTTGGTTTACAGATCAGTATACCACAGGCATAAAATTCAGGGTAGGATTTCACCTCCCAAGTATCGGATGGGTTGAAGGCAAACCTGCTTTGCAAGCTACAGACAGCACTCTGAAGTGCTGTGCCTGACGACACCAAAAAGATGAGGCAGGAAGATCAGGAGTTTGAGGCCAACTTGGGCTACATAACAAGATCCTGCCTCAAAGACAGGTAGATAATAGGCGATGAAGAAGGTGGATTGTGGATAGAAGGATGGATGATAGATAGAGAGAGAGAGAGAGAGTGCTGACAGACCGCTGACAGACGGGTGACATTGGCCATCTCCGAACTCTGGTTCTCCACTATCTCACACTGGTGCTGAGGAAGGCGGAGCCAGGCCTAATGTCCTGTCTGTTGGAGAAACTGAACAGAAAGGAAAACAATTCTGGTTACACAACTTTGATCCAACAAAGCTGCTAGCTATCTGGCAGTCTTTGACATATACACTGCTTCTTGTTTTATTTCAAAATACTGGTGTTAATGTAGTAGCCCTCCTTTAAAACTGAATTCCTTTTTTTAACTATTATTCCTGAAAATGAGTGTGTTGAGTATGTAAACTTCCTACCAAGAAACCTGCCCTTTCTTTGCAGATACACTTTTCTAAATCGACTTGCAAAAATGGGATTCACTTAATTTTTTAAAGTCTTTTTTTTTTTTTTCCGGTTGTGGGGCCTGAACTCTGGGCCTGGGCGCTGTCCCTCAGCTCTTCAGCTCAAGGCTAGCACTCTACCACTTGAGCCACCACAGCGCCACTTCCGGCTTTTTTCTTTTTGCTTATGTGGTGCTGAGGAATCGAACCCAGGGCCTCAGGCATGCAAGGCAAGCGCTCTACCACTGAGCCACCTTCCCAACCTCTTTTAAAGTCTTAAGTTTCAGAAAGACAATGGAATGGGCAAAGGAGTCTTGTTCCTTAATAATAATATAAATTACTGGCTTTATAAGCCCATTTGTACCTCTTATTTTTAAATAATTTTTAATTTAGACAGAGGTTTTTTTTGTCCTACAGAGGGTTTCTTACTGGTTTTAAATCTGGTTTGACTATGCTTTTTGTTCATTCTCTTTACCTCAAGAGGAAATTTCTACTTAAATGTCCTGAGACGCCGGGGCTGTGAAATAACGTTGGCAGTGGCTGTTTGATGAACGAGGTGGGCCTGGCCCTGGCATTCTGCCAACACTACACATTGTAGAAAGGCCCCGCCAGCCATCGGACGGCGTTTTGGTGATGGCCTGGTGGTCTCCCATAGCCGCGGGGCCCCGGCTTTCCCGAGGCACGCACACACCTGCCACACCTCGTAATTCTGCCCCTGCTCTGATGTCAGACAGCTCAGAGCGCAGCCAACGCCACTGCATTTCTAATTCCAGGCCCAGAAAGATCCGAAGAAGGACCGTCCTCTTGCGCGCCGCAAGTCCGAGCTGCCCCAGGACCCTCTCACCAAGAAAGCCTTGGAAGCTCACTGCAGGGCCGACGAGCTGCTCTCCCAGGACGGGCGCTAGCCCGGCGCAGTGTCGGCCCGGCCTGCCCGTCTCTTCTGGATTCTGTAGAAAATACATACTGTGTGTGCCATACCCGTCAGCTCCACTCAGAGCTTCCTTCCACCCCGTTCTGTAGGCGACCACGCGCACCTGCCTCAGCTCGAGATGAGGAGTTCAAACAATGGTGGTTCTCAGACCCCATGGGCCAGGCTGGGGTGGGGGGGAGGGCGGGTGGCAGTGTCCCCACAAGGTCCTACCCTCCCCAGCATCACCCTCAGTAAGACTGTCACCAAACCAGAGCTGTAGGAAAGCACCCTGGCCCTCATGCCCCTGCTCCACACACACAGCATTCGTGACCCTTCCAGGTAGGTGGCTCTGCGGTAGTTTCAATGTTCTGCAGATCAGAGGAACACTTGGAAAAGTGCCGCCTACCTTTACGACTGCACAGCCTTTCAGATGCTCCCACAGGTGGCTAGGCCCGCGTTTTTGTCTGTGTGATCTCGCGGGTTGGCTCTCCGCTTTCACGTTCTCGAGCCTCCCAGAAAGTGTCATGACAATCCTGGCGCTGGCCATGCCTGCCGAGGTGTCCTTCACCCTGCTTCCCCCACGCACGCCAGGCCCTGCTGCTCTCGTCTACCGAAAGCCATATCTCCCAGTCTGTGCCAGCACCAGGGTTCCGAGGGAAGCTCGCGCCAGGCAGGCCTTCCAAAAGCTTTCTCTGTCACCTTGACTGGATTGGAATTTTTCAATTATGTGCTCATATTTTTATTTACAGAATCAGTTTTTTTTTCATCTACTTACACATTGGATACCCTTCCACAAGACTCTTGAAGTGATACAGTTACAGTGTCTAAGAACCTCATACTTCCAGGGGGAAGTTGGAAGGAGTCAGGCGCTTGGCCTAAGGCAAGCTGCGGCCTCTGCCTTTGGGATAACTGTGGGCCGGCCAGGCCCCGCCCTACCCCCAGCTCAGCGGCTCCTTTCCCAGGGGAGGGGGGGGGGGAAGCAGCGGGGGTGTCGGGAAGTGGCCTGCGCTCTGTGAGGAAGGGGCACACGCACCAGCCGCGGAAGGAAAATGCAGTGTCTTGAGTTTTCACTGTCTTCATAATGCTGCTATATATTTCCCAGACTTCTTGCATGGATTAAGCTTTTGTTTTAGATGGGATAGCACGAGGAGAATTCCTTTAAACTTAGTGCTTTGTCTATTCTTTATTTCTCTCAGGGTGGCCAGTATTTTGACTTACTTATCCTGCTTGAAAGCTACTTGAGATGTGCACTGCTGTTCTGAACAGTGACTTAGTTTCTTTTGTCTCTGGCATATACATATATAAATACATATATATAAAACTTAATGTTAAATGTCTTGATGCATAAGAGATAAAATGTGGCTTCTTTTAGGATCTGTTTTTAATCGTGGTCTCGGTTATCCATGAAAAGATGGTGAAATCCAACATTGCCCCTTGGGCGGCCTCAGTGCCTGCTGCCCGGCTTTCCTTGCGGTCCGCTGAAGATGCTTCTTTGCTGAGTCTGGGAGGAGCGCGCCCTGCGGGGAGGGGAGAGGCCGCCTGTGCTGAGGGCCGCACCGGCTGGGCCTGGCCGGGCGGCAGCAGGGCGCGGGAAGGCTGCAGGCTGACAGGGGCCCGGGCCTGGTCAGAACACTTCCTGAGAAACTTGACAAGTATCTATCCATTTTCCATTATGAAATCTATAATTTAAAAACAAGTTGAGATGCCTTCTCCTTTTGAGGGAAAAAGGGTGCTTTTTATTGTATAAAGCAGCGTCTTATGTATTTTGATATACCATTGTTTGAACTTCCGTCTTTAGCTGATAGATTCTCAGAGGCCCCTGACCGGGGCCTCTGCTGAGGAGGTGGGCCTCCCCTGACCGGGGCCTCTGCTGAGGAGGTGGGCCTCCCCTCGGCCCTGGGGGAGAAGGGAGATATCAGTGTCGGGTGATTGTGTAAAGCTCAACGTATAAAAACATCTTCTGGTCTAGGTTTTATTTCTGCTCTTTATTGAAGACAAACATTCACCAATAAGGGGAAGAAAAGCAGTTTTGAGAGAAACTAATTGTCTTGGACAAGAGTATTGCTTAATATTTTGGCCTATTAAAGTTACCTAGTTAGTACTCGGATTCCCTGTGCGAATGGTTCAGCTTATATATATATATATCATACTGAGACACTGTTCACTCTGTACCAAACAGATTTCAGAAGTACTGCGTTGAAAATAAACTGGTGACTGTTTTTCTTCATAAAGTTCTGCGTTTGGCATCGTCACTCTTCCCAGAAATTTATCTGTGCATCAAATGTCACAGTTCCCAGTGTCTTCTTAGTGTGGCTTTAGGATGGCTTCCTTTTAATATTGTACATACATTGTATCTTTGTTTTATGGTAATAAGTAATAAAAATGTAGACTTCATATTTTGTACAAAAATGTCCTATGTACAGAATAAAAAAAGTTCATAGAAACAGCAAAAATAGGTAAGTGGCACAATTATTTTTTTTCTTTAGGAAATACCTGTAACTTTATGCTTTCGTGAAATGTTAAGTACCTACATATTTTTTAACATTTTGTAATTCAGAACTTTTTGTTTTGACATTGTTTATGAAGAGGAACTTCATACACCTGCCACTTAATATGCTCTTTTACCTAATTTTAAAGAACTCCTAAAACGGTGTATTATATGAACTAAATAAAGAACATGTGAATTTTATTGCTCATCCTGAAACTAACTTAGCCCCGGCACCGGGCAGGCCGGGCTGATGCGGCCGGCCGGAGGTCAGAGGAGGCGGCCGGCCCTTGTCGCCCACCCGGCGCCCCGAGCGCCCCGAGCGCCCGGCCCTTCCGGGCTCGGAGCCGATCGCGGAAGCCGAAGGCGCAGGGCCAGCAGCCTGTCAGCAGCATCTTGGTTTTTGAGGAGTCAGATGAGAGCCAGACACCGCCCCCCCCCGCGGGACACCCCCTCCCCCGCGGGACACCCCCCGCGGGTCACCCCTCCCCCCGCGGGACACCCCTCCCCCCGCGGGACCCCTCTCCCAAGGGACCACCCCGTGGGACACCCCCCGCGGGACACCCCTCCCCCCGCGGGACCCCTCTCCCAAGGGACCCCCCTTCCCGAGGGACACCCCCCGGGGGACCCCCTCCCCCCGCGGGACCCCCTGCCCCCGCAGGACTCCCCTCCCAAGGGACCCCCCGCGGGACACCCCCCCCCCGGGAGCACAGGCCTTTGTCCTCCACGAAGTGCCGTGTCTTTTCCATTTTCATCGAGTACCAGCTGGTGCTCTACCACCCGAGCCACACCTCCGGCCCCATGCAGGCGCTCTTGAAGGGACGGATGGGGAAGGCCGGACCGCGGGGTCGGCGAGGCCAGCGGGGCGCTGCAGCCGCAGGGCCCGGGAGCGCGGGGGATGCCAGCCCGAGTGGGTGCGGCCTGCCCCTCACCAGCCAGCCCCCCAGAGGACCGCGGGGACCCACACTCGTGTCCTCCGCTGTGGGACATATGGAGGCCCCAGGCAGGGAGGCCCCTGAGCCCATGGTAAGGTCACAGGGCGGCCCTGCGCGGGCCTGGAGGGCGGCGG